AGTTAATTAAGAAAACATTAAAAAACAAGGGTAGAAATTGCTTGGGAAGTTATTTTTATGTTTTATGAGCATTTCTCAAATAAGTAGAAAAGTGTTGGAATTTTCTTTACAGATTTTCTTTTTGGGTTTATTTGTTTGATTGAGTTTGTTTTCTATGTCTTTCTAAACTATCTTTCAACAATTAAAAAAAATCCTTTTTCTACAGTTCTGAAAAACAGCACTGCAAAGACAACACAAGTTTAATTACCTCAATAAGCCATGGCTTAAGCTTGTCATCAATAATGATGTCATATCCATAGCATTCAAAGCAATGTTTATCATTGTTCATCACAGGCTATAAGAGATGAAAGTAAACATGAGAAGAAGGATGTGCAATAGATCATCTTCGTAGTGTATTGAAGAAGACTATTTAAATAATGTGCACAAGACATTTTAAATATAACCTGAATATTTACAAAGAAGTTGTGCAAGCTTACCAATAATACTATAGATAAGAATATAAATCCTCAAATATAAAGAGGAAGAATATGAAATCAAACAAAAGATTCACAATTTATTTGTCTGAAACTGTAAATAAAAAGAATGCCTACAATTCAAGAAGGCAAACTGTTCTAGTATTTTTTACAGTCATAAAATCCCTCTTTTTTTTTTTTTGCTCTTATAGACTCTTGAGAAGAATGTCTTATCTTTTCCTTATTTAAAAATTCTCAGGAAGGCTATTAAGTTTTTATGTAACATTTTTATTTTGAAGGCTAATACACTTGTCACTCTTAATAGAGTTAAGTATATTGGTAGCTTTCTCCCATAATCTAATAATAAGATGGCTTAGATTCAATAAATCACTCAATGAGCTATTTTTCTTAGAATTTGTATTTGTAGCTGTACATTCTTTTGTAAGGTTGCTAAATGTCATATTTATCTTGATTTTACTTTTGTTTAAAGATCAGTGGAATGCATACCATAAAAATAAGTATTTATTGTGCTTTTATATTACACAGCTTCTCTTATGTTTGACATTCCACATTCCAGAATAGCAGAATATGTAAAATAATGGATTACAAAATATAAGGAATAAAAAATATGTCAAACATTTACTATGATACTTGTTCACATTTCAATAACAAATATAAGTAACCATTGAAAAGAATCTGAACGGGTCTTTTGTATTTCTTAACGTTCCTTTATCGTAAACTTGCTTTTTCTACTCACTGCAACTGCTTTCAATGATTGTACAATTATCCAATGTATTTCATCAAACAGTTTGTTTGTGACATCTTTCCCTCGAGTGCTTTCCAGATACAAACGCAGATTACTGACCGTCCATTTGCCACCATGAATGTGGTTGTAATCATCCTACAAAAGTACATCAAATTATCATTTTTACTTTCAAAAGACTTTTCAGAACCAGACGTCTTCTTTAAATCTGATAATTTGGATTATGCACACAAACAATCAACAAAAAAAGTATAGACTTTAAGTAGGCTTTAATGCATTTTTATCCTGCCAGGACACATCCTATAGTCTTTTAATATTAATTTAAGGACAAGATAAATTCCAAAGCTAATAAACAGAATAATTAACAGAAGATTTCAGTCTAGGTGTGTTAAAATGTTTATGTTCTAGGTAGGAGAGCAATGGGCTACGTCAACTGTTCATTGGCTACTTGTTTCAAGTGATAGATTTAATTCTTTATGTTCTAGAATATTGTTTTATGGTTTTTGTATTCTTGTGAGTGGCCTAAAGTCTCAGGACACAGCTGCATATAAATTATCACAAACAAATAAGTATAGAATAGAATAGTATTCTTTATTGGCCAAATATGATTGGACACACAAGGAATTTATTTCCAGGGCCTCAAAATTTTGCTGCCAATAGCAGCCTCGGCGAAATGATCTCTAGTAGTTTTGATGTTTCTTAATATTTTCTGCGACTCACTGCGAATTGCATACACAAGAGATGAGACACTGAATAAATAAACATATTTAGAAGTATAACTGAGCAACTTGATTTTTGTTACACATTTTAATTAATTCCAAATAATTTAGATCTACATTATAAAAGGAACTTACCCCATGTTTCTGAATGGCAACATTTGTAAGATGGACAAACATGTTATCCAATTCACTTGTACTTGGAGTATATTTTACTGTGCAAAATCGGCAAAACCCAAGTTTATACCTTAAATATAAAGAAAAGATCTTATCTTATAACTTAAATGTTCTTAAAGAGACAGCTTATTTGACAGTAGTTGCTTTGATCTTTCTTTTTTTATTTATTACAATTTTATAACATGTTTTATTTCATGTAAACTGATTTTCTATGCAAAGGGTTGGTTACTTTTGTCCTGTCCAATCAACTTTTTTTTACTTTGATCTCTTTCTGAATACCTTGTTACTATTTTAATCCTTATTCTATTGTTTCCTATTCTGTTGTGTTTTAATTTATAAATTGCCTGACAGATTATTTATTATTATTTAGGAGTCCAATTCCAATTCAATCAATAAGTAGCGAATCAAATATGGTTCAATATGTGCAGTGGAAATCTGGTGGGATTTGTAAGAATTTAAATAGAAAAAGAACATAGAAATTAACATTGGAAATTAAAAGCCTTTGATTTTTCCCACCACCATCACTCCCCTTTCAGCAACCATCATTCCCTGAATAAACATATAATCATAACACTTCACTTAGCACTTCACTGGCTCAATCAAAAATCCTCAAGGTAAGGAAAGACGCCAGATTCCCCCTCATAATAATCTACACCTACGAAGGATCTTCCTGAATTTCACACATCCTCAGGTCTATATCTTATATACATCTAAACATACACCTCACAATCAAAGCCTAGGGCAGGGGTAGGCAACCTTGGCTCTTTTATGACTTGTGGACTTCAACTCCCAGAATTCCTGAGCCAGCATAGTACCGGTAGTACATCCCTAACATTGTAGGCTACCTTCAACCCTTGCATGTGGTTGGATGAATAAACTACTCCTAACAGCTGCCACTTGTGCTTATTTGTAACCCAGCTCAGGAAACGGACCACAAAAATTCTTCTAACACATTCAACAAGGAAACAATAGAAAGAGAAGAATTGTACTGTTTTATGCACCCATTGCTGCCCCAAAATTCAGATGTTGATCTGGTAGATAGGATCTAGTTTAAATTAACTGGAGGAACAAGTAAACCAACACTGCTATTTCTATCTAGTATCATATCAGCCAGGGAGAAGAGATGCGTGAACACACTTGATCTTTCAAAGAGGTATGAAATGCAACAGAGGATGGTATTGGACCCAAGGAGATACAGGAAAGAATGGGTCCTATAGTGGTCATTCCACGGGATAAGAGAACTGGCACTAGAAGTTCTCCTCTCCTTGCTCCTTGACAAGAAAAGTCATAATGAGAGAAGACAAATCTTTCTTCTTTCTTATCAGAGGCAGAAGCAACAGTGGAGAGAAGCAGCAGAAAATGACTCCTTTGGTATCGTTTTTCCTAGGAGACCAGATCCTGGAATGAAGGAATTGTTCTCCACCCTGCCTCTCTCTTCCCCATGATTCCTGCGCAAATAAAACTTCTACTTCATTGCCAGGGCAGATTAGGCATTGGAAGTGTGATTCCCAAACTAAATAATGGTATTGAGTACTGCCCTGTGAAAGAATCCTGAACCACCAGGTCAAGAATGGGTGTATCCTAGCCCAGGACAGGCATGGCAAGTTTGGCTGACCTGGTCTGAATGGGCAGGAAGACAGAGCTAACCCATTGGTGGATTCTCCATCTCCTGTGCTGGAGAATAGGAGACTATAAAAAGAAATTGAAGTAGGTTTTAAAGGAAAGGGTTAAAGGGGATAAGATAGCACTCTTCAAATAGCAGAAACAATGCTGCCCCGAAAGCCAAGATTATTCTCCATTGCTCCAGAGTGCTGAATATGGAGTATCAGACATTAATAACAATATAGGAAGATTCAATGTTATAGTTGAATATTAGGGGGGGGGAATCTTCTAAACTGGAGCAGCAGATGATCAGTGTAACCTGAAAGGTGATTGATCTCTTTATTAGCATGTTTTAAGCATAATCTATAATCTAAACAGATATCTGGGAAAACCATGGCCATGATTTTCCCAGTTGCAATATATGGCTGTGAAAGTTGGACCATAAGAAAAGCTGAGCGCAAAAGAATTGAGGCCTTTGAACTATGGTGCTGAAGAAGACTCCTGCGAGTCCCTTGGACTGCAAGGCGATCAAACCGGTCAGTCCTAGAGGAGATCAACCCTGACTGCTCTTTAGAAGGCCAGATCCTGAAGTTGAAACTCAAGTACTTTGGCCACCTAATGAGAAGGAAGGACTCACTGGAGAAGAGCCTAATGCTGGGAAAGATTGAGGGCAATAGAAGAAAGGGACGACAGAGAATGAGGTGGCTGGATGGAGTCACTGAAGCAGTAGGCATGAACTTAAATGGACTCCAGAAGATGGTAGAGGACAGGAAGGTCTGGAGGAATGTTGTCCATGGAGTCGCGATGGGTCGGACACGACTTCGCAACTAACAACAAACAGGTATCTATCCTGAATGGCTGGATTCTTCTAATACTAGTCTTGCTGGTCTACATATCTATTTTCAACTCTACAATTCTACAATTCCCACCCACCCCCACCTCCGGGCAGCAAATAGAACAAAACAGAACAAAAACTGAACTTACATATAGCACCTCAAAGGACGGTAAGTAGATACCAATACATATAAGCGTAGATCAAATTTCTTCCCACCAATCAGAAGTGGATTACTGATATACAGGGAAATCACATACGCTTCTTTAGTGGACTGAGATACAAACCTAAAGACATTTATATTTCGTTATTTAAATGTATTAAATTAGTTTCCTTCTTTTAAAAGTAATAAAGACAAAGCCACGTACATCAATATGAAAAGTTTTCTTCTTCTGCCAGAGCCATGATATTTTTCAAACTCGGGCAGAATCGAATGTAAGCATCCACATGTAAATCTTACTGCTAGCTTGCTGACTTACTGCATTGTAAAAGGCTTCCTTCTTTCTCAAGGAAGAATGGAAATGCAGCACGCAGGCAATATGGGGAATGAATTATCTTTTCATCCATCACCATCTTCCTTCCAATCTCACTAAAAAGAAAAGAAATGGGAGCCTCTTCCTTTCAGGAAAGAAAAGGATGCCAAAGTAACTGATGTCTTTCAATTACTGAATCTTTACATTTTGGATATTTAAAGGTAGTTTTGTTATATTTTCTCTCTTTCTTATCATAAAATTTAAGATTTGTTTAATCGGTTGTGAGGTTGGACTGTCTCCCATGGAAAGACTGAAATTCTCTAGCCATCTGTCTCTAAACTATATTGCCAGGAGATTGCATTAAGGAAAGTATGACTTCCCTCTCTTCATTTTCACCTTTTAATTAACAGAAAGGCAGGACATGCATGCCCTATTTCTTTCACGTACTGGGACATGGGGTAGAAAGCCAGATAGGTGTCCCTGGGACTAACAGGCTCCTATCCCAAAATAGGAGGCAGGGCCATGGTGTGAAAACCCAGAGGGCTTTGGGAAACTAGATTTGAGACATCCAGTATTCTACTTTTCTGCTCTGGCTGTGCATTACAAATTTCAAACACATTTCTCAATCAGTGTATTTGTTGTGGCCACGAAACTTCATAAATGTGTCCTAAATAGCAAGCAGTTTCAAGTGCCATGAATATAGATAACTGCCCTTCAAGCATGAGAGTACTTATCTGAATCTGGAAAAAGGAGATTCAGGAAATAATTTTTCCCATTTGTTTTAATTTGATGTTTCCTATGCAAATTTCCTATTTACTTTGCAGAAAGTCTTTCTTTTTTTAAAATCAAGTCCTTACTACAAACTAATTAAATTAAGACAAACTTAGTGCCGCAACTTTAGTGTAAAGCGTAACTTAGGCTTAACGTATAAAAGTGTCTGCAAACTTTTACCATAAAACTTAAATCAGGTTTTTGAAGAAGTTATAAATTACCTTCTGATGAAGGCTAAATCTGGAATAGCACATATTTAATTTAAAATTTAATTTAACCATTGCAGCAGGCAGTGGTGCCATTGTTTTAAGATTGCTATTATTTTGTCAGTGGCAAAAAAGTCTTCAATCAGAGATGATTATCATCTCTGTTCACTTACGTCCATCATTATGAAATGTTTTGAAAGGCTGATAAAGGACTTTATTGTCTCCAGCCTCCCTCCTGCGTTTGACTCACTTCAGTTTGCTTATCATCCAA